AAAAGCAAAAAAAAAAAAAAAAGAGGCAGATGCTGGGGCTATTGTGGGGTCAGTTCCAGATCACCTCAATAAAGGGACTATCACAGTGAAAAAAAACAACAAAAAACCTGCATGTATAGTTGCTTTTTGTGCTGAAAAAAGATATTTGCTCTGAAGAAGTCGTTGGTCTCCCCAAATTCTCTCTTGCGGTCTCGTCTCTATCACCAAGACCACATTTTCTAACTACCTTTCCTTCCTCTTGTTTACAACTTTCGCATTACAATGGCCCATATTTACCAATGATCTTGACTGCCTGTGTGACCAATTTCGGACTGAAGAAGCTGGTAGGATTCTTCAGTTGGGATGGGCTCAGCCTTCTCTTTTCCCTCCTGCCCAGTCTCTCTTGAGTGCCCTCCTCCAATTCCAAACTGCTGCTTCCAGGGAGGGTGCCTGGGCTCTTTTGTTCTGTGGGGCTTAAACTACCACCTGTTTTGCTCTGACTTCTGGGCTGAAAAGGATCACCTGGCTCAGCAGAAAAAAAAAAGTCTAGAAAATAATGATGTGCATCTGTACAAATGTGCTTGATGCAACTGATGTATGGATTGTTAGAAGAGCGATAAAAGTCCTCAATAAAATGTAAAAAAAGGTCACCCATGCCAATCATTGCAAGTTAAAACTACCAACAGTTAAAACACAGCGAGAGTGAGGTTCACATTTAAAAACAAACAAAAAAACTAAAACCAAGCCATCAAATGTGTTTCCCTTTCCCCTCTTATTTCTAATCTCTTTTCTGAAGAGCCCACTGCCCACAGTAACTACACCCTCTTTACCGGTTGGTTCTGTTATTTAGCACCAATTCAGAGTGAAGCTTTTATTACATTCATGTATTCGTGACCGTTTATTTATCATAGGCTCTGTCTTCTACCCTTGTCTCCAAGTTCTTAAAGATGAAAGAAACCTAGGTAGTAGAGTTTCTCCAACTTTGAATGTGCAGGAGAATCAACAGGGGAGCTGGTTAAAATGTGGATTCTGAGGCTTTAGGTTTGGGGACTGAGCTTCTTGGAAAAAGGCTTCAGGTGATGCTGCTGCTGGGTCCTCCGCAGTGCTCTGGGTTTAGTTGCCATGGCTGGCAGGACTTAACTTAGCACAAAGGAGGTGAACAAGAAACGGATGCTGCGTCAGCCTGGGCTCTGTCTCCCACTCAGTATCTTGGACTTTGCTTTAATACATCTTCTGGGTTTTCCTTATTTATTTCCTGTTCATGACTTGTGACCATGAGCTGGCAAGTATTCCTTTGCGGAATTCCTTGGCTCTGCCCTCCCTTCCCTTCTTCATCCTCCGCGTCCTTCCAAAGTACTCTGGACATGTTGCTAGGAATGCTCAGTGCCTGGGAAAGGGCATCGTGCTTGGTAAAGGGAAAAAGAGGAAGGCCCACAACCAGATGGATTGATACAGAGCCTCAACAGTGGGCTCAAACCTAACAATCGTGGGGATGGCACAGGACTGGCATGTTGTTTTCTGTTGTACAGTCTCGAGACTTGTTTGGAGGTTTGGAGGTTCTGGCAGGGGAGCGCAGGACTGTGGGGAAGGTTAGCCTCTTCAACCAAGCGTGCAGCTTCAGGAGGGATGCACATGGAGCGGTGAGGGAGGAAGGGGACACCCACCTAGCCAGCCAGATCAGCCAAATCAACCCTGTCGATCGATGGGGTGACAGAAGTCGCAGCCAGATCACCCTCACATCCTGTAGTGAGTCTCAAGGAGTCAGAACTACCAACAGTTACCTCCAGCTGCTTTCCACTTTAGTCCACCGGCATTTACCTTGAAGCAGAAAGGACAACTTTCTCAAGAATAAGCGTGCCGCTTTCTTGCCCAGCCCCTTCATGTCAGTCCCACAAACAAACCCCAAATCTACGGCCATTGAGTAGATTCTGATTCAGAGACCTGACTCATAGGGTTTCTGAGACACTGCCCCCCATTTACGGGAACAGACAGCTTCTTCTTTCTCCTGTGGAGTAGCTGGTGGGTTTTAACCGTTGATCTTTCAGTTAGCAGCTCAACACCTAACCCTCTAAGTGTACAGTATATTAAATTCAAATTTCAGAGGAGAAACTTCAAAACATTCTACCAACCATTCCCTCTTCCTTGCTAGTCAATTTCCCTTTACACTCCACTTGGCATCCTCTGCATATTGCCTAAAGCAAACTCACTGTAGTCTAGTTCAATCTGACTAGTGAGGACCAGATATGGCAGGGTAGAGCTGTAAATTTTTTTTTTTTTTGAGCTGTAAATTTTTAAGGAAGCCCATGGCCACATTTTTTTCCTGGCAGAGTGGCTGGTGGGTTTGAACCATTGACCTTTTTAAACTTTTCTACACCCAGGATGCCTGCATATTACCTCAAATTCCATACTCTAAACCCACTGCCATCGACCTGACAGCTGACGCTAACCCTGGTGGCATTGTGGTGAGGGGTTGGGCTTCTAATCACAAGGATGGCAGTTGGAGACCACCCAGCTGATTCGTGGGAGAGAATGGAAGCTCTCTACTCCTCTAAAGAGGTAACAACCTTGTTACCTACAGGGTAAAAACCTACAGGGGCAGTTCTACTCTGTCCTATGCAGTCACTAAGAGGGGGCATATTAGATAGATATGATTACATTTCTTCAAACTCTTTGTAGGGTTTTAGGCCTGGGACTAGAGATACTGGGTGATACTAACAGTTCGGTGCTAGACAAGTACTAGCCAAAAGATTGGCAGCTTGAACATGCCCAGAGGCTCTTTCCAAGCCAGACCTGGTGATCTGCTTCCCAAAAGTCACAGCCTTAAAAACCCTACCGTGCACATATTGGGAATGCCTTCTTTCATCCTTTTTAAAGGCATGCATCTCTTTCAAAAGTCTCCCTTGGATCTTTCACTAACATCTAAAATTTAACTAAAATCACCCGATTGATTGCCAGTTGTGAGTCTTTTACCTGAGCCCTGGTGGTGGAGTGGGCTACATATCCGGCTGCTAAGTGCAAGATCAGCAGTTTGAAACCACCAGCCACACGGAGTGGGGAAAAAAGGTAGGGCTTTCTCTTCCCATAAAGAGACTAATAGGCTCAGAAACCCATTGTTTTATAAGGTTGCTCTGAGTTGTAATTAACTTGATGACAGTGAGTTTGAGTTTGTTTTCTAATTTTTGAGGGCACTCGTTTTGTTTTTGCTGCTGCTGAATGTAGAGCAAACAAAACTTGAGATGAATCTTCGTTAATTTTCAAAACATCTTACAGCCTATTTCTTGGAAGTCTGGGTGTATGGTACCGGGGGCATAAACAATTTTTGTAAGATAGTTCTAGTGCTATCAAAGTAACAATTCACTTCAAAAGGTTGCGCATCATTATCCCGTTAAGAAAATGGGATTAAAAAGAAAGTAACCATCTTCGAGTATAGAGACAAGAGCATGCATGGTTACGAGATACCTCCGTGGAGTACCACCAATCAACCAACAGACTCTACAGGGGAAGGACATTTACTAGGCAGCTCAAATTCAGCAGAGGCCCAAACCTAAATTCTATCTAAAAGGGTTTACACTTTGCTGCAATTATTTTCTAAGCTGCACATTTTGCATCTGTGAGGAATGCCTTTTTCTTAAGAATTCTGGTTGTTTTAAATTAAAAAGACCATGGAATGGGGCTCTTTCATATGGCAATTTCGAGGAGAGGGCGGCAGCTTGGCCCATTCAGCGAGGTGCCCGAGGCCTGCAGACTGCACGCCCCGCCACCACCTCAAGCTCGGATTTCATCGATGGGGTTTTGTACTGCTCCCCATTTTTTTTGGCGGTTGCGAATCGCGCAAACGCACTACGAAGGCCTCCAGCCCTGGCAAACGTTGCAAGCACAAGCCGCCCAGGCGGTCAGGTTCTCCCTCACACACAGCCTGGGGCTGGAGGCCTGGCTACCCGCCCCCCAGCCCGGTCCACAACAATCGTTTCCTCCCTCCCGCCTTTTACATACAGTACACATACAAATACACACACGCAGCGCAGTCAGCAGGGGCGGGCCGGGCGCGACCATTCTGCAAGCCACAGGGGGAGCCGCGGCGGCCCGAGGTAAATTCGCCCACTCCTTTGTTCCGCCACCACCCTCTCTCGGTCCACCTGGTGGCACCTGTTGGGCAAAAGCGAGCGTGCGGCTCTCGGGTCATCCCAAGCTCCGTCCCGGGGGCGCCCACCCGGGGCCGCTGATTCTTCGCCCCCTCCCTCGGCGGGCAGTTGG